CATCATGCATATCATCATCCTCATCATCATCAGCATCATCAGCATCATCATCATCAGCATCAGCATCAGCATGATCAGCAGCAGCAGCATCATCATCATCCGTATCAGCATCATCATCAGTAGTATCATCATCATCAGTAGCATCGTGGTCATAATCATCATCATCGTCATTATCCGTCATCATCATCATCATCAGCAGCAGCAGCATCATCATCATCATCAGCAGCAGCAGCAGCATCAGCAGCAGAAGCATCATCTTCATCAGCAGCAACAGCATCATCATCAGCAGCAGCAGCATCAGCATCATCATCAGCATCATTATTCCTTCCCGTTCTTCACCCAGGAGGAGGAGGAGGAGGAGGAGGAGGAGGAGGAGGACGAGGAGGAGGGAAGGCGGGGGGAGACCCTCCCAGCCGCCGCCCCTCCAGCATCTTGGAGGACAGGTCGCCCGCGCGCCTCCTCAGCAGCGACGCCGCGCGGTCCAGCGCCGAGGCTCGCCTCTTCCAGGGAGTGATCGGACAGGGGGAGGGGGCGAGGGAGGGAGGGAGAGAGGGACTCAGACCCAGACCCCCTCGCGTCGTGAAAACATCACGACCGAAGGTTTTTCGCTATTTGCGGCATCCGGGGGCCCTCGTCAAAAAAAAACGGACCCAGACCCAGACCCCCTCGCGTCGTGAAAACATCACGACCGAAGGTTCTTCGCTATTTGCGGCATCCGGGGGCCCTCGTCAAAATAACAACCCAGGATGAAAAACGGGTCCCCGGGAAGGGGCCCAGATCTTTGGGCGTCCACGCTATGAGAATCAACTCTACGTCGGAGGTCTGGGGAGGGAGGGAAGGAGGGGAGGATAAATACGGAACAGCCAGGCCGGACGAAAGCGGGGGGGAGTTAGCGAGTGGGCTCGCGCAGCTGATTCCCAGGCGCCAGAGGCGCCAATGTTATCGAAGAAAGCGACAGGCGCGGCACCGATCGGCTGCATGCAAACATGCAGCAGCTGTCGCACCCTTCAATTCCCAGTCCACCCCCTCTCGTCCGACCCGGAACAGGGGGAGGGAAGGAGAGCGGGAGGAGCAGGAGGAGGAGGAGGAGGAGGGAGGAGGAGAGAGGAAGAAGAGGAGGAGGAGAGGAGGAGGAGCGAGGAGGAGGAGGAGGAGGAGGAGGAGGAGGAGGAGGGGAGGGAGGAGGGAGGAGGAGGAGGAGGAGGAGGGGGGAGGGAGGAGGAGGAGGAGGAGGAGGAGGAAGTGAGGAGGAGGAGCTACGACGGAGGAAGAGGGCAGGGAATAGCGGCGGCGTGCCGAGGGGGAAAGGCAGAGGGGGCAGGCCATCTCGCTGGGCGGCGGGGCTTCTCAGACGACCGTCGGCCAGAGGCCTTCTGAGCCTGCCGAGGAGGCCCGCCCCCTCTGCCTTTCCCCCCTGGGCGCGCCGCCGAGAAGAGGAAGGGGGGAAAACGTGGAGAGGGATGAGGGGCAGCAACAGCAGCAACAGCAGAAAACGAGGTGCCGCCCCAGGCGCAGGAGATGAGCACGAGAGAGGCTCCAGAGCGAAGAGGAGACACGAAGAAGCAGTAAGGTCTCGAGGGCACCATGTGGCTCACTTGGAGTTTGACTTATCCCATGGAGGGGGGAAGAGGAGGGACAGAAGAATGAAGAGGAGCCCTTCGCTGCAGAGGTGTCTCTATCCACTTCAACCACCTCCTCCTCCTCCTCCTCCTCCTCCTCCTCCTCTCTCCTCCTCCTCCTCCTCCTCTTCCTCCTCCTCCTCCTCCTCCTCCTCCTCCTCCTCCCCCTCCTGATCCTCCCCCCCCTGCATCCCCCACTCTCCACATGTTCCTCTTCATCTCCCACATCCGCATCCTCCTCATCATCATCCTCATCCTCATTCTTCCATCTTCCGCCTTCCCTGTCCTCCTACGGCAGCTTCGTGTCGCGGCGACTTGCGCGTTGGTTCCTGACACCGCTTGAATCCTTGATCCTTGAACGATCGCGGCTTCCCGATAGCGCAGATCCCTCAATGTCCGCCAATTCTGGCCCACACTGGCGCCATTCAACCTCCAAAGCCCGCGCTGGGGTCGCCGCCAGGTCGATACGGCGCGAACCGGCCGTACTCCCCACGGGCATCGGAGCTCCGCGCAGAGTTCTCGGGTCGGCACTGGACCCCCCTGGTTGCCCTGGCAGGCAGAGCACGCCAGGGGGGTCCAGTGCCGACCCAAGAACCCCTGGCAAGTATGTCGATTGCTGTTTCCCTCCCTCTTCTCCTTGCCTCCTGTCGTCCTTCCTGCTCCCTCGACCCCGATCCCGGCTTCGTAGACCCCTCTTCCTCCTGCCTTCACGCGTTCTCCTTCCTCCTATCTCGAGCCCTCTCCCCCCTTCCTGCTCCCCCTGCGCCTCGGGACGATCCAGGCACCCCCCTGGAGCGCCATCGGCGAGGCGCTGCTGCTGGAGAGCAGGGGAGGGGGGCGCATCATGGCCCGAGGCGTGTGCGCGGACGAGGGGTGGCCCGTGGATGTGCTGACAAAAAAAAAAAATAGGAGGGGGCCATGGAATCCGGAAGGCTCCCCAGCCTGGGCCATGATACCCACGCAACCCGAGTCCTCACCCCCCTCCTCGACGCCTGGCAACTTTCGGGCCATCCTCTGGGGCCTACGGCGGCCGTTCGGGCCGGGGCACCCCCGGAACGCTCTCGGGAAGGCGCAGCTGCCGGAGAGCATCCCGAGGCTGGAAGCCCGCCGAGAATCCACGAAAGCGCCCGAAGACCTCGAACTTCGAGAGTGGGGCCTCGAACCTCTCCCTCCCCAACCCACCCACTCACCCGCTCCTCCTCCTCCTCCTCCTCCTCCTCCTCCTCCTCCTCCTCCTCCTCCTCCTCCTCCTCCTCCTCCTCCTCCTCCTCCTCCTCCTCCTCCTCCCCAACCCGCCCGCCCCGAGCGCCTCCTGCTGCTGCGCGTCTGCAGGAAGGACCGCCCCCGGGCCGCCAGCTGGGGCAGCGCAGACTGGACGTGGTCGCCTCTCCCGCTAGGAGGAGGGAGGGAGGGAGAAAAGGAGGAAGTAGATGGGGTCGGCGGATCGCGCCACATCGCCAATACATCGCCGATGTATCGGCGATGCATCGGCGATGCATCGGCGACGTCGGCGATGCGTCGGCGACGTCGGCGTGGAGGAAATCGGACCTCTCATCGAGCCACATCGACGAAGCATCGGCGATGCGGCGCGATCCTCCGACCCCTTCTACTCCGACCCCATCTAGGAGGCCTAGAGGAAGGGAGGGAGAGAGAGGGAGGAAGGAAGAGAGGAGGAGGAGAAAGTAGAGATTCCACCTGGCCCATCCCCTGCCAACAAGATCTCTCGCAAGCAAGGTCTTCCGCCGCCACCGAGACCCTCTTGACCCTCCAAGTGGCGAGCCTCTCAAAATGAGAGACCATTCGTTGCTCATATTTCGCGTGGCCCCATTGAGGCGAAAGTACAGCTGAGGGAAGGAGGGGGGAGAAGGAGGGAGTTGGAGGGAGGGCCCCCAAACATGCTCACGCCGTAGCAAAATCACAACGGCGGGAGGTCTTTGGACCGTATTCGGCCACTGGGGGACCGCGCTCGGCCAAAGGACTCAGGAAACAACATTCGGGGCGACAAACTCAACGTAGAGACTTCGGGGGACCAGCAAAGAAACAGATTCGTACATGCACGTGGGCATCATGGTCAGGGCGCGAACACCCCGTTCATTTTGATTTCTACTGTTCGACCTGACATCTAGCTACGCGCAGGCTGCAAACCTTCAATGCGTGAAACATCCGCTGGAGAATCGGTTTGGCGTCTCGCTGTGGAGCAGTGAGAGATCTGTCACTCGGCGACTCCGTTTGGCGTCTCGTGGCAGAGCAGTGAGAGATCTGCCACTCGGCGAAAGCATACCTGACATCAGTGCAGTGGAGCCCTTCTGCTTGCTCACGTAAGGAGCGCTGCAGGAGGAAGGAATGGAAGGGGCTCCTGCCGCGGCGACCCTCGACCACGAACAGGCCCGCCGACCTGAGGAACGGCCCGAAGGCCAGAGCCCCTCTGCGCGTGGCCGACCCCTCCTTGCGCCGAAGCAGTCCGTCGAGGCCCGAGGCCGCCCCGTGGCAGATCGCCCGGCGCCTCATGGAGGAGGAGGAGGAGGAGGAGGAGGAGGAGGAGGATTTCAGCGTCTCGACTGCGGGTTCGGACGTGGACTCTCCGTCTGGCAGGGCTGCGGGTCGCGCACACGGGCAGCCCTCCAGGCAGCGCCGGCCGACCTCAGCAGGCCCCCCGGAGCAGTCCAGTAGTCCGTCTCGACGGCCCAACTCTGGAGCGCGGAGCGCCCCTGGGGCGCCGCCGGAGTCGTCGCCACGGTGCTGAGACCATCCTGGACGACTCCAAGAGGCCTGCTGCAGCCTCCAGGGACTACCTGGGGGGGCTGTCTGTGCACCATCCGAGGCCTCACCGCCTCGTTCACGTCGTCCTCTACTTCGCCTTCCCCCGTCCCCATTCCCGCCATAACTCCCCGCCACGGCGGGGTTCGAGATGATCTCGATGGCTTTCTGCAGCGCCTCCAGCTCCTGCTCGCGGACCTCCTGGCCGACGGCTGCGCCGCGCCCGAGGGTGCCCTGCTCATTGTCATTCTCGTCACCATCCGCCTCTTCTTCCACCACCTCCTCCTCCTCCTCCTCCTCCTCCTCCTCCTCCTCCTCCTCCTCCTCCTCGTCATCGTCCTCATACGCATCACCATCATCATCAGCAGAAGCAGAACAATCATCAGCATCACCATCACCATCACCATCACCATCGTCATCATAATCAGCAGCATCATCATCACCATTATCAACGTCGTCACCATCATCATCAGCAGCATCATCATCATCACCAGCAGCAGCAGCATTACCATTATGACCATCATCATAATCTGCAGCATCATTATGGTCAGCATCAGCATGAGCATCGGCATCATCATGATGAGCATCCTCATCAGCAGCATCATCAGCAGCAGCTGCAATAGCAGCACCTCGTCTTCATCATCAGCATCATCCTCATCATCAGCATCACCATCAGCATCATAATCATCAGCATCATCAGCAGCAGCATTATTATCATCAGCATCACCATCAGCATCAGCATCACCATCATCATCGTCGCCGTCGTCATCGTCATCGTCATCATCATCAACATCATCATCATCGTCAGCATCATCATCACCGTCGTCGTCATCAGCATCAGCATCATCATGATTAGTATCAGTATCGTCATCATCACCAACACCATCACCATCCCAATTACCATCAACCTCACCCACATAATCTTCCACATCCACACGACCATGTTCCTCCTCTTCCTCATCATCCTTTTCCTGGAGAGAGAGAGAGAGAGGAGGGGAGGAGGGAGGAGGAAGGGGAGCCAGAAATCCATCCGAGGCGCGGCGCGCTTTGCGGAGCTCGCCAGCTCGTCCGATGATGAGATCCCGCAGCTTGACTTGAGCGAGAGAGGAGGATGTGGCAGTAGAGGAGAAGGGCAGCAAATGTGGCAAAGAGCTAGAAAGAGAGAGAGAGAGAGATAGAGTGGTGGGAGCGAGAGAGGGAGAGAGAGAGAGAGAGAGACAGAGGCAGAGAGACAGAGAGAGGGAGACAGGGAGAGGGAGACAGAGCATAGATAAAGGGCCACGCGACCGAAACTACTCTGCGATGCACGGTGCATGGGAGAAAGCTCCATGGCAAGGAAGGAAGTGACGGGATGGGGGCGGTAAGAGACACCAGGTGGACCCCACAGCAGAAGACCAGAGCCTCCCCCCATCAGAGCAGGCCGACACACCCACGGGTCACCACCAACCCACCCACCCGCAGCCCCAGAGGGGACCAGAGCTCGGAGGCGTCCGAGAGCGGGGCGTCCAATGGGGGGGAGATAGCCAATCATGGGCCGAGGCATGTGCGCGGTCCAAGGATCGGGGGAGCACAAACCTGGATTAGCGATCCATGGATTTGGCGCGCGGTCGCCCAATCCGTGCATCGGGGGAGGTGCCCTCCCTAAAATGCGGCCGGTGCCGCCTCGTTCGGCGGCGGACATCCACGATTTCCGATGGAAACGGGGCCCGTCGCTGATCCACGCTCCCTGAATCCATGTGTGCGATCGCCTGACAGGGGGGGGGATCCAGGACGCACTGGAAGCACGAGCTCTTCCACGCACCTCCAGGGCCCTCGGAGCCTCCGCATCCACCCCTCCGTGGCCGCCAGGGTGCCCAAGATATGCCTCCTGAGAGGGCTCTGGAAGCTCCAGCACGCAGGAGAGGCAGCAAGAACACCCAAGAACACCAAGAACACCCAGGGAGCGTGTCGAAATCAGGAGAGGGGGCACGAAATCCGAGGCGATTTCATGGCCCGGCCACGATGCCCAGCCCTCCCTGGTCATCACACCCGTCGTAGCCGCCCCCGAAGCCCAGAATGGCCCCAGCTGGCCCCAGAGGGCCCACCCTGACCGCCCAAAGGGGCCCCCCAGCACGGCTTGAGAGTGCTCTCGGAGACGTCCAAGACGGGCACCCTCTCCGCCCGCGCGCCCCCCTACTGACGGATCGGATCGGATCGAACAGGCCAATGAACCCGTCAGAAGCCACAGCGCCGTCCAAGGCGGCCGAACTGCCACAGGTGCGAGGCATTCCAATTGAGATGAGTTTCGGTTCTAGTGATCGCTGCCCTACCCGGCGAGGAAAAAAAACCTCCGTGGCCCCTGCTAACCACCCTGGCCACCCCCTACGAGGGAGGGGGGGGAGGAGGAGCGCGCAGCCAACAGATCTGGAGACACAGCCCTGAGCACTGGAGACCCGGCCCTGAGCAGGGCAGTGCGGAAGGGCCTCAGGGCCTCAATCACGACTGTGCCAACATGCTGCAGCTGTAATTATGGACACACAGATAAATAGGCACAACTAACCGGATTCCCCCCCCACTTCCCATAGTTTCCCATATGTTCGGGGGAGTCGACGATTCATTGTATCTGTGTGTTTTCCCTCCTGAGAGCAAGAGGAGCAGGAGGGGGAGGGGGAGGGGCAAATGAAGGGGAGGGGGGGGGGGCTTGGATCGGTGGGTGCGACGCGCCCTCCCCTGCCCTGCTGCCGCCAGGAGACGTCCACGCCCGCGGCTGCAGTGGGGCCCCGCCCAGGATCCGATGCGAGCCGCGGGTGTGACTCACTCTTGGAGGCCTGGAAATGGGCACCAACACCAACACACAGGGGGTTGCCTCCACAGGGGGAAGATGATCCTAGATTTTCGGTGCTGGTGGTAATAGTTCGGTCACCTTGGAAGCCAGAATATTACCACCATCACCGAGATCGGGATCTTCTTCCCTCGGTGGAGGCACACCGCCGAAACTGGTGTTGGTGTCAATCTCTAGGCCTGCGACACTTCACGCCCGCTCCCCACGGCTGCCGACGCCTGCCCTGGGTCCGAGGGGAGCGGTCGGCGTGGACGGCTTCCTGCCCTCACAGGCGGGAAGACGACGGCATCCGCCACTCCTCCTGGACGCCCGAAGTGGGTACAGAATGCATGGGGACGATGCCCAACAGCCGCCGCTGTTTAGCAGGCGGTTTTCTGCCCCGGAACGGACAAAGTCCGCGGCGACACCGTCAGCGAGTCCTTTCCAAAATGGACAGGAACTACTATCGATCTTCGTACGGCTGGACCCAGGACAAAAAACATCCTTCAAAAACAAGAGACCCTCCGCCGGCCAAACTGAGGAACGCTCGAGGGTGCCTTTCCCCCAGAAAAACATCAAAGAAGCACGAAAAACATGAGGGCGCCCTCCCCGAACCGACCTCGATCTTATACCTCAGTCCTACCGTACCTAGTTCGACAGTCCAGATTGAGGGGTCCTCCAGGACCCCAGTTGGAGGCCTGGAAATGGGCACCAACACCAACACGGAAGGTTGCCTCCACAGGGGGAAGAAGATCCTAGATGTCGGTGTTGGTGGTAATATTTCGGTCACTTTGGAAGCCAGAGTATCTTCGTCCCTCAGCGGAGGCACACCGCCGAAATTGGTGTTGGTGTCAACCTCAAGGCCTGCGATGAGGGGTCCTCTAGGACCACAGGGCCCAGCTCCGACGCGGCGGGCGTGGACACGCTCCGGCAAAGGAGCCCCCTCGCTCTCCCCGAGACGGCGCGCCAGGGCGGCGGCAGCACGGGGCAGCCGCCGCCGACGGCCGAGGACGACGACGACGACGACGACGACGACGACGACGACGACGACGACGACGACGACGACGGCGGCGGCGGCGGCGGCGGCGGCGGCGGCGGCGGCGGCGGCGGCGGCGGCGGCGGCGGCGGCGGCGGCGGCGGCGGCGGCGGCGGCGGCGGCGGCGGCGCGCGCCTGGTTCTGGGCGAAGGTGGCGGACTTGGCGGCGAAGGTGGCCTCCCCGCCCCCTGAGGGGCAACGATGGGGGGCGGACTGGCATAGGAGGGGGATGCATCGACCTGGAATCGGCGATACGTCCTCGACACGTCAGCGACAGGCCCTCGACAGTGAAACCCGCACCTTCCTGGGCGGGCTGGGGCTATCGGGCCCCATATCGGCGATCAATGGGCGATGCGGGGACGATGCGTCCCCCCTCCCCTCTGTCGCTGCCCCCGACCCCCCCGCGGACCCGTCCGCGGGCGATCGCCGCCGCGGCCGCGGACCGGAGCTGGAAGGCTCGCGGCGCGCGCCGCCCAGACGCCGCGGGCACCCACCTCCAACGGGAACCCTCCCCCGGCCCCGCCTCGTCCCGAGTTTTCCACTCTTTCCTCCTCCTCCTCCTCCTCCTCCTCCTCCTCCTCCTCCCTCCTCCTCCTCCTCCTCCTCCTCCTTCTCCCCCTGGCCTCCCTGGGCCCGCCCCCCCCCCTATCGCTGCCCCCGACCCTCCTGCGGAATGACTTCGGGACCCGCCCAAGCCGCCGCCGCCCGCCGGCACCGCGGCGCACAGCGGGGAGGGCGACCCGACACTCGGTGGCGTCAAGGGCCTGCTCGGGGCTGGACCAACACGGTGTCTTTCTCCTTGTGTTCGTTTTGTTCTCTGTCTTCGTTTTGTCTTCGATTTGTTCTCCCTCGTTTCTCTTTGTGTTCATTTTGAGTTCGTTTCCCCTCGCTTTGTCTTTGTTCCGCCTCCACTGTAAAACGAGGTCACCACGAAAACGGTCCACGAGATCGTCCAAACACGGTTTCGATCGACCCCTGCGCCCTCTCGCGCGCCTGCGCGAGTAGCTCAGCGCTAAAAAAAAACATAATCTGCCAGCATCGCAGCGGCACGTCGGATCGAATCGAAACGTGCATCGGATCGGGCTGCATCGGCGCGGACTCCAAGTCGAATCGGGTCGGCTGCGCCAGGATGCACATCAGCGCCATGCGAGTATCGGGCTGCATCGGATCGCCAGAATGCGGGACTCGAATCGGATCGGGCCGGCCGGGATCGCTATCGAATCGGGCCGATCGGATCGGAATGGCCCTGAACGTCGACCACGAGTGGGGCAAACCCGATGCCAAACGCGGAGGAGCCATCACTGGAAGACAGGGCTTCTCCCGGGCGATCTGGTGATCTGGGCTGCCGCCTGCGTGCTCCTCCTGCCCGCGGCGCGCTGCCCTGGCCAGAGCGGAGAGCCCGAAAGTCCTTGCCTGTGCAGACTTCCCCTCTCCAACTTACGGCTGGCGGTGGAAAGATGGCGTGCGGCATCGATCTCCGAAAACCACGCTGCCCCTGTGAGGCGATCCTCCCTCGGGGGCCCCAGCTGCGCGAGCTGCCCCGCTGCCCTGGCCCCCAACCGTCGCCCCAGGCCCCTCCCTCCTCTTCGTGGCGGCCCTGGGCCCCCGCCCCGATCGGGTGCTGCTGGAGGAGGGCCCGCCCCCCCGGGCGAAGCTCGCGGAGCTGTCCTGCCCCCCTCCTGGGGATCCTGGGCGGCCAAGAGGGGTCCAAGAGGAGGGGCGTCCAGAACTCGGGGGCGTCCCAGAGGGGGCCTCGCAGAGGCATGTGCGCGGCCCAGGGGGGGGTCATGGACGAACTGAAAGCGCGATCTCTTCAAGGCACCTCGAGGGCCTTGGGAGCCTCCAAAATGCCCAAAATGCCTTCTGAGATGGCTCCAAAGGGCCCCGACACCCTGGGGAGGCATCAAAAACACACGAAATGCCCTCAACACGGCCCAAGACGGCCCCAAGACGCCCCAAGAGTGCCTCAAGAGAACCAAGTCATCAATGTTCCTTCAGCTTTTGAATGATTTTCGCGTTCTTGCAACTTCAGGCTTCCTCCAACACGGTCCGATATACCCCCAGACGGACCAAAGACGACCAAAGAGGTCCCTAAGAGGGCCAAGAGACGACCCAGCAGGGGCCCTACGACAGCCCAAGAAACCCCCAAGACACGCCAAAATGCCTTCAAGAGGGCCCCAAGAGAGGCTCAAGAGGGAGAACTCGCAGGAACACCGGAAGCCCTCCCCCAAAAGACGCCCCCGAGATCCCCAGCACGGCCCCAAGAGGCCCCCAGGAAGCCCACAGAGGGCCCCCCCCCGAAGACCCCAGGGACCACGAAGAGGCGTCACGAGGCCATCTCCTCGGCCTTCAAGCTGCCCCGTCACAGACGCGGAGGAAGGCGAGGACGACTCGGCCCTGACTGCGGTACGACGGGAAGCAGCAAAAACATAAGACATACGAACTCGCAGGCCGCACCTCTCCTCCTCTGGGGATCGGCGGAATGGCGCAGGCCGCATCCTCCTCCTCCTCCTCCTCCTCCTCCTCCTCCTCCCTCCTCCTCCTCCTCCTCCTCCTCCTCCTCCTCCTCCTCCGCCCTCCTTCTCCTCCTCCTCCTCCCTCCTCCTCCTCCTCCGACCTCCTCCTCCTCCTCCTCCTCCTCCTCCTCCTCCTGCTCCTCCTCCTCTTGGGATCGGCGGAGTGGCGGACATAAGCCGTCTGCCATCGGGGGCGCCCGTCCAAGGGCGGCTGTAAAGCGCATACCCCCGGCGGTGCGGTGCCACCGTAGGTGCAGTGAACTTTCCAGCCGCCCTGGGGCAGGCGTCCCCGATAGCCCCAGGAGTGTGCGATGCCGCTCTTCGTCCGCAGAGGACGGGAGGCAGGAGGGGTCAGCCAGCGGAGCGTGCGTACCCACGAACGTCAACATCGTAGAACCGCCCTTGGGCGCCGAGTTCCCAGCTGCCCCCAAAAAAAACAGGCCCGCGCACGTCCTTTCTCGATTCGTCATAGCTCGAAGAATTGACTGCCGTGTCTTTCAACAAGAGCTCCCACCTGAACTGAGGATCCAAAGGGGCGTTCGTATTTCAAGGGGGTGATCCGCGCAGTTAAAAGATGCTTGCAAGGATAAATGAAGGAGGGACTTAGGACGGGAGGGTGTACTGCAGTATCGATGATGTACCATCGGTGTTCTCTAGTCATCCTGCTTCTACTCGCCATCACCGTCAAATTTACATACACAGTCATCCCTCCTACCCTCCCTCCCTCCCTCCATCCCTCCTCCTACCTCTCGCCATCGTCCTTGTGCTGCTGCTCCTGGTTGCCCCCCCTGGCCCTCCCCATGTCGGCCTGCATGTCCACGATGAACTTCTTGGTCGCCTCCAGTTCTTTCTTCGTGTCGGCAAGCTGGCCCTGTGCTTTGGCCGAGGCCTCCTGGGACGCGACCAGGTCTCCCCGCCGTCGTCCCCCTCCGCCCCCCTCCCTCCTCTCCCCCCCCCTCCCCATCTCGCCACCCCGTCCCGGGGAGGGGACGCGCTCAGGGCCGAGCGCACAGACAGGGACAGAAGCGAGGGAGGAGAAGTGTGACGCGGAGGTGCAGGGTTGAAGGGGCCCTGGGACACACAAATAAACACACACACACACAAATAACAGGATTCACCATATTTCCCAATATTTTCTAGGTTTTTGTCTTCCCCCCCACTTCCCATATTTCCCCGTATTTTCCTAGGGAATCGACGATTAATTGTGTCTGTGTGTTTTTCCCCCTCCTGAGGGGTGAGTGGAGGGAGGAGGAGGAGGAGGAGGAGGAGGAGGAGAAGGAGGAGGAGGAGGAGGAGGAGCAGGAGGAGGAAGAGGAGGAGGAGGAGGAGGAGGAGGAGAGGAGGAGGAGGAGGGGGGAGGAGGGGGAGAGGGGAGGAGGAGGAGGAGGAGGAGGAGGAGGAGGAGGAGGGAGGAGGAGGGAGGAGGAGGGAGGAGGAGGAGGAGGAGGGAGGAGGAGGAGGAGGAGGAGGGGAGGAGGAGGGGGAGGAGGAGGAGGAGGAGGAGGAGGAGGGGGGGAGGAGAAGATGGCTGGTGGCCCCGAAGGTTCAGCCCCTGCCCGCGAGCGGCACCGGGGCTGGTGGCCTTCAGCACCCGAGGAGGCGGCGCGCGTGTCAACACGATGAGCGACGGCAGCTACGGGTGCAGCAGCGGATTTGAGGGGCAACGATACGGGGGGACTGGCATAGGGGGGGATGCATCGACCTGGAATCGGCGATACATCGCCGACTGATCGGCGATAGGCCTCTGATGGTGAGTCCGCACCTCCCTGGGCACGCTGGGGCTACCGGGCCCCGATCGGCGATCGGTGGGCGATTGGGGGTCGATGCATCCCCCCCTATGCCTATACCCCCCTATCGTTGCCTCTCAGGACTCCATCACCACCCACCCGGCGCAACGCACTCCGTCCGAAAAGACCGTGCGTCACCGTCGATGTGTCAGGTGTTCGCCCCGTCTGCCTGGGGCCACGGGCCGCTGAGGGCGATGAGTACGTGCTCGGCGGCGTTGCGTTCCACACTGCCCACGTGAACGAATGCAGAAAGCGTCACGATGTGCAGTCGTCGCCGTGACGGCCCTCTGTGGTCTGTTCGTGCACCGTTCGCCGACGTTGCAGCAGACGTGGCCGACGTGACATTCACACTGATGGCGTGTGTTGCACTCTCTTCGCTTCCTCGCAACTTCTCAGACATGATGCACTGCGGGCAATGTTCGAGGCGCCCACTGAGTTGCTTGATCATTACCGCTTGTTCCCGACTTCGGACAAAAATCCAAACCACGATGGGAAAACCAACAGGTACCGACACCGCTACTCGCTGGACATCTCCCGTGTTATTGAAAGGGCCCTGGGACACACAAATAAATACACACACATAACAGGATTCCCCCTATTTTCCTTCCCCCCCACTGCCCATATTTCCCCATGTTTTCTGGGGATCGACGATTAATGGTGTATGTGTTTTTCCCCTCCTGACAGACTTTCGAAACGAATCCAGCGGTGGCGAAGGGCCTCCCAGGAGGCTCGAAAAGGCGGAAACGGGGCAAGGGTAGCAGTAGCAGAACTGATACCTTGTCCTCCTCTGATAGAGGGCAGAAACTCCACCCCGACAATAACCACCCCGACACGCGAAGCCGTTTAGCAAACGCACCCAAAGAAGGAATCAAAAAGGGCAGGCCGTTTCGCAAACGCCCAGGGCCGTTCAGTAAACGCCAATTGTCCGGTCCGGGTGGTGTTTCCTCCCGTGGCAACCGTGGGCGTGAGTTCCGCGAGAGGCTACGCCTGGCGCCTGGGCTGCTGGGCACGGCGTGCCCGTGCCAGGCAGCGGCGCCCTCCTTCCAGGCCCGCGGCGCCTTTTTGCGTCCAGCGTCCGATCACCACCGCTTCGGCAGAGTCGCGAGCGGGCACGCATCGCGACGTGCAAACGGCGCCTCTCCCGCGCTGCGGCCGAGAAGCTCTGCAGAGGGTGTCGCGGCGGCGGCCTCGGCGACACGCCATGTCCTGCAAGCGGACAGCATGTCGCTCCGCTCCGAGGGGCTGGAGGCTCGGAGAAGCTCGGAGCGTTGGCGCTCGGGAAATGGGGCGTGGATAGCGTGTCGCGCCGCAGCGTGGCGGGCCAGGACCGGCGGCGCGGCACGCTGAGCCAAAGTTCCTGACTGGACGTATGCGACCACGGACCCCGTGTTACTCCTCGGCCTTGGGCGGTCTTCGGCGGTCTTCTGACGGTTTTCGGCGGTCTTCTGACGGTCTTGCGACGGTCTTCGGCGGTCTTTCGCGGTCTCCTGACCGTAGTCGGTGGTTTTCGGTAGTCTCTGGCGGTTTCTTGCGGTCTTCGGCGCAAAAGCTGCCACGCTTGCGTTCAACACAGGGGTCCATGGTCGAACACCTAGCAAGTGAGGTAGATCACATGCACCTGGCACGAAGCAGAAAACCTTCGGCGATCCAGACTTGCAGCAGTACCTTTGCGATCCGCTTCGTGCCACAGCCTCATCCTGTCTAAACTGGTGTTTGGAGGAGGTGTCAGAACCGAAGGAACTACGCATATCAAGAGCTACGTACATGAGCGTTGCTCGTCGGATGTGCAGCCACATGAGCTTTGATGGCACGGTCGGCATCGGCATCGCCTCCCCACACTTTGACATGAAAAGCAGGACGGTCCCGAGGACAACGGGTCCTGGAACCAAGGGCTCTCCCCGGGACCAGCTTTCGTCCCGAACTGCTTCTGCCAACGGTCCCGGGGCCCCAGGAGGGCACCGGTGTCCGAAAACTGGAAAGGCAAATCCCGACTCGCTCCCCCCAGGCCCCGTGTGCTTCATGGCCGCTCCCTTGCCCCGCACTTCGAAGCCTCCTAGATGGGGTCGGAGTAGATGGGGTCGGCGGATCTTCCCGCATCGACGATACATCGGCAATGCATCGCCGATGCATCGGCGATGCACTGGCGATGCACTGGCGACGTCGGCGATGCATCGGCGACGTCGGCGCGGAAAAAAGTGGACCCCACATCGAGCTTCATCGGCGATGCGGCACGATCCTCCGACCCCATCTGTTCCGACCCCACCTAGGGGGCCTAGAGCTCCCTTGCCCCGCACTGTCCTTCGTCTGCGCCCTGATGCCGGTCTTCTCCTCCCTGTCCGCGCTCAGGCGCCCGACCGTGTTGGAGATGTGCAGCACGGCCATCTGGTACCTGTGATGATGGGCATGCTTTCCACCACCACTACCATATGTAGGTCGGGGGAGAAGGGAGGATGAGGAGGTCCTCCTCCTCCTCCTCCTCCTCCTCCTCCTCCTCCTCCTCCTCCTCCTCCTCCTCTCCTCCTCCTCCTCCTCCTCCTCCTCCTCCTCCTCCTCCTCCTACATACAGTAGTGGTGGTGGAAAGTGGGCCCATCATGTGAGGGCCGCACTCGCGAGGCGGTCGCAGCTGCCGGGCCGGACGATAGAGAGCCATCCCGGGGCCACGTGATGGTGCACGGACCCGCCTGGCCCCGGCATCGGCCAGGCACCCTGGATCTGGGTGGCCCAGAAGGGGGTCCAGCTGAGAAGGGGGTGGTGCAATAGATTTCGGGCAACTGTGTTGCAAATGTACTGCGCCGGAGAATTCTACTGCACTGTATTACAAGTACTGTGTTGCACGCGAAGATCCAACAATACATGTGCGCCCCGGAGTGTCTTGAACGCCCCAAATGCATTGCAGCCACACAAATGGATTGCACCAAATCTGTTGCACCACCCCCTTGCCGCTGGATCCCCTTTTGGGTCAACCCGACCGGCGTCGCCATTTCTGTTCACAACAGGCGTCGCCGGGGCCATCCCGGATCGACGCAGCTCGAGAAGTGCCGCACGGAAAATGGGGTCCGGCGCCCCGGCTGTGGCTTCCGGGAGGTCTGCAATCTTCTCGCAGCGTCAGATCTCGGGAGCGGGGCACCGGCCAGGCACGGTGGTGGCGTGCAGGCGCCTCCTGCGGAGGAGGTCAAGCCGAAAGGGGGCAATGGCAGGGGGGGGGTCAGCGAATCAGCTGCGCGCACGTCGCTTTCGTGTGTCGCCTCCTGGCGACGGGAGCGCCAGCGAGCCGAGGAGAGCGCCCCGCTGGGCTCCCCATCCCCCTGGCCCTTCGTCCCACCGCTCCAGCTCATCCACCTCCTGCTCCTCCCCCCCTCCTCCTGGAGGCCCAGCTGGGCACGCATGCGCACGGTTGGACTCGTCCGTGTTCGTCTCGTCCAGCTGGCTCTTGAACTTCTTCAGCAGCCCCTCCAGCAAATCGATGACCCCGCTCGACTGCGGCGCGCAGGCGTGGGCGGGGGGAGGAGAGGACGAGGAGGTAAGGGAGCTGGTGCAGAGTAGGGAGGGGAGGGGAGGGGAGGCAAGGATGGTCAGACGGGGCAGAGTAGTGAGCACAGGAGGAGAGGGATGGGACGAGACAGGATGAAGAAATGAGAAGGCACGAGAACGAGGAATGCGAGCAGACAGGAGGGAGGCGCGAGGGAAAACCTGTTTCCCCTCCTCCCTCTCCCCCTCCTCCGCCCTATCCTTGTCGTGTTGCGCCCTCCTCTCCTCCTCCTCCTCCCCCTCCTCCTCCTCCTCCTCCTCCTCCTCCTCCTCCTCCTCCTCCTCCGCCTCCTCCTCGCTGCACCCCCCATCACAGCCAGCCTGCAAGCCCCCATGCTCCGTTCCTCTCAGCCCTGCCTTCCCACCTGCGCGCGCGCGGATTGCCCTCCGTCTCTCTCTCTCTCTCTCTTCATTGCTAGCCAGGCCACGCCGCAAAAGCCGGCCACAGAACGCCGTACCGCTGACGTCCCCCCTCGCCATCCCCGCGCCATCGAAGGATGAAGACGAGCGATGGGTCGAAGGTTCGAGGCTCAAAGGTTCGAGGATCGAGGGCTCGAGGCATCGAGGATCGAGGATCGAGGGCTCGAGGTCTTGACCATCGAAGGGGAGAGGCGAGGATGGACGAGCGTTCGCGCCCTGCCCCCCCGTAGACCCGCCCGGCTGCGAGAGCCCCAGGAGGCTCCGGCCGCCTGGAACTCGTAGGCGGCCACGGCCGGGGCGCCGTCCTGGCGCGGCAGGGGAGGGGGGACAAGGGGACCAATGGGCACGCGTACGCTCGCAACAGCGGGCACCCGCCGGAAGGACGAAGACCCACGGACCCGCGCGGTGGAAATCCTGCGTCGTCGGATTCTGGTGCAGGCCCGCCGACCCCGAGGGCGCGACGGGAGAGAGCCTCTGCCCCGGCGTCGCCCTGGCCGCCGAGCGGGCGTGCCATCGCTGAGCACGCCGACCTTGTTTGTCCCCTGGGAGCACCCCCCCGAGCAGAGGATGGCAGGGCGCACGCGAGCATCTCGAGGCCAGTCGTTGGGAGGCCCCCATGCCCCGCGCAGTCCACTCTCCGTTCTGCCCCCCCCTGGGCCGCGCCCGCCCCCCGGGCCCGTCCTTCTCGGATCGCCCGCCCCTTCCGTTTTCCAACCGCGCCCGAGGTGACACCGTCTGCCATTCCCGCCCCCTGGGCCTGTCCTTCATGCACGGCGCCATAAACTCCCGATACTGCCGCCCCCCCTGACCTCTGATTCGAATTCCCCCCCCTCTCAAGAGTTCGAGACCACTGGAAAGAGCAAACCAAACACCACATCCCGATCATCAGAGGGCCCATATGTCAAGATCGAAACCGCTCCCAGCTGAACATCGTTCCCAGACATCTGGCCGCTCCCAACTTTTCGATGCGCGGGCCCTGAGATCTGGACCACTTCCCCAGGCTTAAGTCGGGCCTGTCCCCCTACAGGGGGATTTT